TGCTATTAGGTTGGGGGCCATGGCTATTAGGTTTGTGGCCCTTGCTAATTGGTTGCAGGCCATTGCTATTAGGTTGGAGGCGATCGCTATTGGCTTGGAGGCCATCGCTCTTAGGTTGGAGGCCATTGCTAGTAACGATGGATCTTGATTAGTAAAGGGGGGCTCCCCACCCCCCTCCCTCAAACAAATGAAGGATCCTCTATAATAAAGTACCACCAAAACAAATCTGGGTTCCTGGGAGGATTCCGTGTGTAATTGAGTATTCATGTTCCTTTCTGAAATTCTTTGTCATTAGGTATTCTTTGCAATCCTTTCATACTACTACATAAAGGATTGATTAAGGAATTGATGGCTTTGGGAAGCTGTGAGTTTTGAGGAAGAACTTGAGAAACCTATACTTATCAATACTCTCAGCAAGCCAACCATTGGCTTAGTGGTATTAAGAATTACAATGTCTATTTTTCTTCAGGAAAAAACTTTGCACAATTGATGGCCCTTAAAACAAATTCATTATTGAGGATCACGGGCCTTCCTGGTCTACTACCTTGAAAATTTGTTTAGGAGCAATCTTTACATAACGGATTGATTAGGCAATTGATGGCTTTGGGAAGCTGTCGGTTTTGAAGAAGAACTTCAGAAACCTACACTTATCAATACTCTCAGCAAGCCAACCATTGGCTTAGTGGTATTAAGAATTGCTTTTTTGTCTCAAAGGAAATATAACTATATAACTCTAAATATTTTTCAAATTATACGAAATTAGGATCAAAAAAGAATTAGCATAATAGAGGACCCTTAAAACAAACAGGGTGTCAAGAATTACTATTTTCAAAAATTTAGCATTACAGAGGGCCCTATTACTAATCAGCATCCAACATTAGGTTGGAGGCCATCGCTATTGAACTATATACAGTAGGCTAGACGTCCCAAAGACCTAAGACCTGAAGCGATTGAAGCAGGAAATGGATGCAACGAGCAAAGCAGCGTGGAATCGGCGTCGCATGGCGCCTGCAGGTCGCTTGACCGGGCTCGAAGCAGCTTTTGGCTCCGGAGCACGGTTGCCAGCACCTCGCACAAGAGGAGCAAACGTGAGCAAATTATTTCAACAGCACAGTGTTGTCAAGAAAGAGATGGAAAAAGAATGAAAACAAAACGCAGGAAAAAAAAACACACACCCTTTATGAAGTTTTCTTCAGGGGTCTTATGGGGTCGCTTTTTCATAATTGTCCTTTTTGACCTTTCTTTGCTGAAAGCGAGAAGAAACCTCTTGGAAATGGACGTCACTCCCCCGAACCCTCAAATATCAAACCTAGAGGAACAACACGGAACAACCATGGTCAAAGCCCGTCATCAACTATTTGGTTTCTCTCGGCCTTCTTTTGATGGGCGCTTGACTTCTCTGCACGGCACTGGGCTAGCTGACTTTGCCTGAGCGATGTGCAATGACACCGGTATAGGATGGTATAAGGTATAAGCATCAAAGCCTAGGTGTGCATTGAGCCATGTCAAGCCAAGTAGCATGTGGACTAACTCCTGGGCGTAGCTTCGGTTCACTACCTGCTGGCTTAACACCATGCGGGGGCACAAAGTGTGAGGAATGAAATCGGATTGTTTCTTAAAAGCACATTAGTTTCGCCCAACATGAACTCTGATCCCAGGGATTGTGACACTGAGTATGACCTGTTTCACGTTTCACTCCACCGCGTCTTTCACATCTCACATCGCTACTAGGAGCAAAGGGCATCGCTACTAGGAGCAGGGACGCTACTAGGGGCTCCTGGCCTTACTACTAGGACGCTACTAGTAGCTCGTGGCATTACGTAACAAGGGCATCGCTGTGCATGACGTGTCGCCTTTCGGATCTTTGGCTCCGTCCCAGGACCGGCCACGATCTGCAGCCTTCGGTACAGCGAGGCCTCACACCACATCAGCACCACCAAGTGCATCGCCACTAGTTACTAGTAACTAGTAAAAAGATGTAACAAGTGCATTACTGGTAACAAGAAGTTTCTAGTAACAAGGTGCCTTACTAGTAACACTTCAAGTTCGTTCACTTGGACTTGAACAAAGACATGACTGGCACCTGTGGCGTTCTGCTGCCGCCCAGGTCGTGGCGCGGAGGCTGGGTTCAGCCCAGGCGCATCAAAGGAAAAGCCTTTCTGCCTGGCACCTAAAAAGCAGAAATAACATCAAATCAGGTCTCGGAATCGTGTGTTCAACCACCATATGGACCACACACATATACACATATATATATATGTATATATATATATGTGATTATGTCTATCAAGAGCGGCAGAGAGAGAGAGAGAGAGAACAAAATAATACAACATATAATTGAGATAGTTGAGTCACTGTGTCAACTAATTATATAGATTGGGGCCTTGCTCTACGGCATTGAGGAACCTGTCCGTCCGGCACATTTCCAGACCTTCTGCCAGTCGCCTCTAACTCTATCTTGTACTGTATTGTGTACAGTATAAATTTGTTGTTTTAATGCAGTAGCTGAGTGCAACGACGTCACATTGCAAACAATAGAATGAAGTAGACTTGCAGTTGTTTTGCAGCTAAGGCTTGCACCTGCATTCTGCGGTTCGTTGCCAGTGCAGCGTCTCTTTTCAGGGCTCTGGCTCATGGCTTGGTGAGCTTTGCATGTCAACACAGGCTTGTCTTGGCTCCGTCGCTCAAGTTTGTGGTGATGCTTCACATCTTCACATCTCGACAACTTGCGAGCGAATGAATGTCTGCAATCGCTGGCGGCTGTGGTAAATGGTCGAGTCATACTCCTGCATGTGTACTCGTCTTTGCCCACTGTTTGAGCCGCTGCTGAAGAAGGACTGAATGCGCACTGTGGATTCAGAAGAAAAGCACTGGTCCAGTCTGATGCAAATGAACAATTCAAAGGTCCCACCTCTGGGAGAGGCAGCTCCATTTCAAGCCTGGTGGCCTCAGGGTGTTCAGGGCATCCAACAATGTCAAGCCTGGACAAAGTGCACGACATCCTGCAAGCACCACAGCTGCCATAGCATGACGCTGGGCATATTCAGGCTCAAACATCTTCACGAAGGAGCACCTGTGCCAATCGCTGGCGGGTGTGGTGGTTGAAACGATTACGGACGTCTCCAAGTGCTGCACCAATCGGGCAGCATGCAGGAAAATCCGTGGCATCCTCACTCTCTGAGCGCGTCTGCATGCATGCATAGATATTTATTTATGTGTTTGCACAGGTTCCTTTAGCCTTTGCTGTCTTTGCCAAGCAGGGCCAAGGGCAGGGCCAGGTTGGCTCACTGCCTCCGTATGTCACATCACCCACCAAAGGATATCCTGCCACCAGTGGAAGCAATCTTAAAGAGCAAAGAAGAGAAACAAAATCATAAAGGGCCCTTATATTCGTAACTAGTTAACTTCCAGTGATCCCCACCCGAGAGGGGGGTGGCGAAAGATAGGCAATAAACAACGCTGGGGCTCTTTAGGCAGGCCGGGAATCGCAACATGCCATGGCCAAGGGAAAAGGCAAGTGCCAACAGCGCCCCCCCAATACGACCCCAACACAGCCAACACCCCAGCAACCGCCGCAGCAGCAGCAGCAACAGCCACAACAACAATAACTGTAACCAGCAGCGGCAGCGGCAGCAAGCAGAAGCTACCAAGCAGCAGCAGGAGCAGCAACAGCTACCAAGCAACAGCAGCAGCAGCTACCAAGCAGCAGCAGCAGCAGCAGCAGCAACCAAGCAACAGCAGCATCAGCTACCAAGCAGCAGCCGCAGTAGCAGCAGCAGCAGCAGCAGCTACCAAGCAGCAGCAGCATCAGCAGCAGCTACCAAGCAGCAGCAGCATCAGCAGGAGCCACCAAGCAGCAGCAGCATCAGCAGCAGCTACCAAGCAGCAGTACCAGCAGCAGCAGCAGCAGCCAAGCAGCAGCAGCAGCAGCAGCCAAGCAGCAGCCAAGCAGAGCCAAGCAGCAGCCAAGCAGCAGCCAAGCAGCAGCAGCAGCAGCCAAAGCAGCCAAGCAGCAGCAGCAAAGCAGCAGCAAAGGCAGCAGCAGCAGCAGCAGCAAAGGCAGCAGCAGCAGCAAAGGCAGCAGCAAAGCAGCAGCAGCAAAGGCAGCAGCAGCAAAGGCAGCAGCAGCAGCAGCAGTGTTGCGTTGCAACAAGTGCAGCAACCCTGAACCGCATGAATGGCATCAACCGTACCATGACACGAGTTGGGGCAGCGTGACAATAGTATAGTTAATATAAGATGCACAAAGGGAAAACTCAACCACTGCCATGCTTCCACCAAACATCACCAAACTCTTCATCACCCGCTTCCCCACCGAACTCTTCGCTCATGCCCCAACACGTCAGCAGCAACCAGCAAGCAGCCAAAGGCAATCAGCAGCACCAAGCATGCAAGCAGCAAGAGATCAAGCAGCAGCAGGTACTGAGGAGAAGGGTGAAGTTGAACCCGCGGGGGGGGGGTTAAAGCCGGATAAATCAGGTATCTGCACTCAGGTCCTCGGCTCCCACCCTCCTTGCTAAAGCAAGACAGACTCCAGCTAGCTACAGCTAGCTTTCGTGATTATGTTCTGATTCTGGCGCTTGTTCTGACATCAAATCTGGCTTGTGCCCTGGCACGTCATCTATCACAAAGGCTGGGAAACGTTCTCGGCTGCGCTCTGACATCTTTGTTGGCGTGTGTTCTGACATTTTTCTTGTCTGACATGTGCTGTGGCACATGGACCAACTGCAGCCGTGGTATGTGCTCTGACATGTATTCTGGTATTTGTTCTGCCATCAAAGATATTTGGGCACTCTACTTGGCATAGAAACAGGCATTGAACTGGCAATTGCTTTGCATTAACTCTATCTGACAAAACTGCCGGCATCTATCTACCATAATTGCTTGCGCTTGATATGCAATCATTGTTGGCATTCTATCTGGCGTGCGTTTTGGCATAATTTTAGATTAGCAATGATTAGCATTAGGCAGGTCAGCCTCAATTATAGCATTCATTTTTTCACAAGATCCAGGTCAAGTTTGACGTAGAATTCGTCAAAAAAACAACAATTTGCACAAATTCACAATCCAGATCCATAGTTCTGGCGCTCAGTCGCCAATTTTCTGACATTCTATTCTGACATTCTATCTGGCGAGGTCCGGCAGTGCCCACTGCGATCATGCACTTGCGATCTGGAGCTGGCAGTTGAGGTGCGGTAGTCGGGGAGAGGGAGAGGGAGAGAGAGAGGGAGAGGGAGAGGGAGAGGGAGAGGGAGCAGGAGCAGGAGCAGGAGAGGAGAGGAGAAGAGCTCTGATAAAATCTAACAACCCTCACCTGGCAGGTGGGGAATTAAATACTGTAGGTCAAATAGGTACCCTTTAAAGGGGCCTTAGCCCTAGCTTACTGTCCTGCATGGCTTAGGTGAACTCGAATCTGATGCATGCGGCCTGTGTAAATGCGAACCTGCAGGTTCATCGAGAGTGTACGGATAGATCGGATGGTGGACACTAGTGCACTCTTGAAAACTCTATAGAGCGAAGTTAATTACAGTAACCCCAGTTTGACTTTGCATGTTGTGTCTTAATTTGACTTATCTGCCTTCACAAGGCTCATAGGCTCACCTCAGCGTTCACATGTAGACTGCTGTCATATCCAGCTACTCTTGCCATCGCTTCACACGTTCCAGGTCAGTTTCGCACCACTCGCACCCATCACATGTGCCTCCGGAGCGAGAGCTGCAAGCTTCAAGACATATCTCTGAACATACTTGTATCATTTTAGTCATTTTAGCAAACAAGCATTTTACATCATTGTACACCACCACAACAACAACAACAACAATGGATGTGCGCAAACCACAAACCACCATTATCTTTTTTCGGTTGATGAAAATCTTTCACGTCTGAGCACCTGACGACATGCAGGATCTCAGTTCGTGCTCGACGCCCTGTGGCAGAGACTTCACTGGTGCGAGGTCCAGCACCAGGTTCCTGTTCCATCCGCTGACATAAGTAGCAACAAAGTCCCCCACAAGCAACAAGAATGTGCACACCATACAGAACATCACAGGCAGAATCTTGCAAATTTGCCGGGCCAATCAGAGTGCTGGACCTTGGAGAAACCGTCTCTGTGGTGGGGCCTCTAGTGGAATCCTCCGAATCGCCCCGGTGAGCAGCCGCGGTCCACGTCGTAGCCACCCTCAGGAGTCACAAAGTCTCGCATCGCCTGGCCTGTAGATGCCTTCTTGCATTGTCTTAGCTTTCCGCCATCACATAAGCAAATGTATTCCTGAAATATACTGATCATAAGCTCTTCGCTTCACTCTTCGAAGATCATCTAAAGAGTTCTCAACTCCAAATCCAGTCACTAGTCCTTCTGCACCCTCTCCGTTGCGAAGGCCAGCCGAAGGGAGAAGTAGCTGAGAGCAACGGTCGGAAAAAGCCCGGGCTCCATTCACGTGCCTCTTACAGTTTGTTCAAAAGCCTGCAGCTACCCCAGCGCCTGCTGTAGGTTGATGCCCACATCACCATGCCCGACCTGCATAAGCCGGCCCAAGCACAACCCTGGCCTTTTTAAAATTTTACAGCACCAGGCTTATTGCAGCGTCTAAATCGCTACCTCCAAACAAATCCTGGTCAGGCCCTCGCGAAACAATCGACTTCCTTTGAAACTGCTTTGCCACTCTAGGGTGAAGAACCGACTTGACTCCACGATCCAAGCGCTTTGAAGCCCCCGGCGTGTCACGGTCCAAACGGTGCACCAGGCCGTGGGAGGCCACCGAGTCATAAGCCTCAGCCAAAGTCGCTAGTTGCACGACGGAATTGCCACCTACCGGCAACTAGCAAACAGCGCACCTCATGCGCACCCTTTTGACCGCGCTGGTCATGAAGTCTCGAGCCCTCCCTTCGACTGCGGACCATGATAGGATGAGGTTGGGTTACCATGGTTGTTGCATGGGTCTTCAATGATCGCATCCCCCATACTTCTCCAATCATGATCCTCAGGCCAGGGCCAGCGGTGCTTTACCGCAAGAAGGTGAACCTGGTTGACGAACTGCTTCGTCATCTCCTCCTGCAACTGTCGCTTCCGCATATTGCGGCCTGACACGAACATAGGGTCGTGCACCAAGGTCCACCATTGGCCTCCGGCCAGGAACTGCATCATCATCTTCTTTGCCACTCCCCCCTTGGTGAGGGGGTCTGCCAGCTGTCGGTCACCATTGACCCATCTCAGATTCGTCTGAATCTGCATGGACTGAGCAACTGCCAGGGCCAATTCGTAACCAGACCTTCCGGAACGCAGACCATGGAGGGAGCTGACATTCCTTGTCACGGCGTCGTAAATCCCACGGGAGTCCATGATGAGGGCTCCCTGGGTCTTCTCTCGTACCATCTGGTACAAGTTCTTTCGATCCACCACCTCTCCGCTCAGGCGGAAACAAAGGTCTTCCCCCTCCGTGATGGCCTGGACCTCTGCCCCGTTGCTTCCAAGGACTTGCCGCGGGGTCTTCTGAGAGCGCCAGGTGATCAAGGCCACCTGCTGCGAAGTTCCATCCAGTATGGACTTCGGAGCACAGCCGCCCACGATGCCCATCGTAGAGCTCTTGTCCGGTCGATTCGAGTTCGACGCATCGGACCAAACAACTATGCTCAAATCATGCCAAGGCACATTCCAGTGAGGGAACACCAGGGTCTGTGGCACCATGCGCACTTCTCGAACCAGTTTGTTCGTACGAAGCAAGGTGTCCACCGTGGCATAGGGCACTTCTGACAGCAGCAGGCCGACATCTGCGGAGCCGTCTGGGAGGCTTGCCATGAGAGCGAACCGATCACTCCCCTGAGTTGGCTGATCTCCAAGGAGGCTGCCACTGCCTTCCGGTTCTTTGCTCTCTCCTTGTCCACCTCAATCTCGTCCACCCAGTTCTCAGCATAGTCCGACTGACCGATGTGGATCTCCTTGTCGTTCTGGGTGATCTGACATCCAGCAAACGTGAATTGTTTCTCTTCCCATCGGCCCCATCGGTAGGATTGCTCCAGCTTGGTCTTGGCCTCATCGAACACTGCATTGCCGTCGCATCCGGCCAGAAGAAAGTCATCAACGTGGACTCCAATCATTCCAACCACCTGTGGGCCATCCTTCAGGATGAAGATGCATCCATCGGAGACTAACTTCGTCCACCCTTGCTTGGCCAATGTGCCGGCGACCTCGTCGTACCATGCCCTCGGAGCATGGACTAGGCCGTAGAATGCCTTGACCACTTTGAGAGGTAGCACAGGATTTGCCGGATCAGCTCCATACAAAACTGCCAGCTCCGGTGGTGCCCAAACAACCAGGTCCTCGTTCTCCAGCGACTTCTTAGCTTGAAGAAAGGCTGACGTGACGTCACCTGAACGGAGCTTGTATCCATAGTTGGCTGCAAGGCACAGGAGCATGTTGCGAGATACCCGGCTCATAGTTGGTGCTGCCGCTTGTACCTGAGTCAGGTTCGGCTGTTGGAAGCCAAGTACCACAAGGCGAGCCTTGGCGATTGAGCCTTCTGGTGTAGGCTTGGTAGTGAGCACCCATCGCATCTGCATCACTCTCTTCTTGTCCAGGTGCTTCCACTCGGTGTTTGTCAATGACCGTAGGGCCTTGGACTGGAGGACATTGGATAGCTCTTTTGCCTGGGCCATGTCAAAGTCTTGCTTCCGGTCCAGTGAGAGCTCCTGCCACGAATGCTCTTTTCCCTTCTCCTGCATCTTCTTTGACAGGTAGACACTGGCTTTGCGAGGATGCCTCATGAGGAAAACTGACTCTTCCTCTGTGACCTCAATCTCAAGGGCATAGAAGTTCCCCTGCTCACCATCACCCTCAGAGGCTTTCCTCTTCGCCACTCGGGATCTCCTTGGTTCTTCAATCTTCCTTCTCTTCTCGTCTGCCTCGGTTCTGAGCTCTTCGGAAGATGATGACGAGGAGTCAGAAGTTGAGCTCGATGACTCTTGATCTTGCTGGTCATCCTCAAGGTCCAGTCTTCCGCTGTTCGAGGACCAAGCGAATTTCTTCCCGCCATCATCCTGATGAGGTCCATGATGTCCTCCGGGAAGGTTGCATTGAGGAGCGGTGCACTGAGTTCCGCTCGAAGATTGGGCCGCTTGTTCGGCCGTGCCAGTGACATAGGTGGAATCGGCTTTCCTTCAGCTTCCATTGCCTGGGTTCTTGGCGTCATTGTTGAGGCAACCATCTTCTTCTGTTCTTCGCCGGGTCCCCCAATCTTCTCTTCTTCACCTGGAGCTTGGGAGACATCATCTTTCTTCTTGATTGTCTTCTTCGCCGGAATCTTCCCCGGCTTCGTCTCCCTTTTGTCTGGAGGCTTCTTCTTCTCCTTTCGTTCGTCACTCTTCTGCTTGGAGGGATCATGTGGTAGACGAACATCAGTCGGGGCGAAGTCACGCATCATCTGCTCAGATGTTGGGTTCTCCCCCGTGACATTGGTGTAGTGCTTTCCTGTGAAGTTCTTCAGAAGGCTGTCCATCGTCACGGCTTGGCGATATATTGCAACTCCCTGCAAAGTTGCTTGGAGCTCTTCTCGTCGCGTGCACTCGCGACACTGGTTGGTCTTGGCCCGGATGAGCGTTGCCCCATGCGCCAACCATAGTGTGCTCCCTTCTTGTAGTAGGACTCGTACAGGACCAATCCAGTGACCTGTTGTCTTGCCCGGCTTGATCCTCTGTCTCCACAGCATCGCCAGGGATCCAACTTTGACGGATTGAGGCGACCTTCCAAGAGCATTGTTGAGGCGAGACAGCTTGTATTTGGCATGCTCTTGTTCGAAAGCTATCCTTGCCTTCTCTTTGAGCCTCAGTTGTCCTCCAAAAGCTTTCTTGGGATCCAGTCCTGATGGGAGCTCTTCCTGAGGTGGTGCACCTCCACGAACCCATTGGAAGGGTGAGAAACCACTTGGTCCAATGGTGTGGTTGGCGCCATGTGCTGCTAGAGCGAAGGCATGAGCAATGGTCAACTCGGGCTCCTCCTTGAGTAGTCGCCTCACTGAAGACTTCAGGATGTTGATGCATCCCTCCTCAGCTCCCATGATCCAGTGCGCTTCAGCCGGCGCAGTCATCACTCCGATGCCTGACCGAGAGCAGAAATCTAAGAAGGTCTCTGACGTAAATTGTGGTCCAGCATCACTGATGATCCAGGATGGACTCGGGTTCGTCATCAACCACTTCATGAAGCTGTTGACCACGTCTTGGGCCGTTGGTTCCCATCTGCTCTTGTACGTCTGGAGGTGGTCAGTCATCACGAAGCCGCTCGCTCGATCTCTCCAGATCAGGAACTTGTCCTTCTCCTTGTCCTCGCCCCGGTCATACTCGAAAACGTCCACCCCGACAATCTCGAATAGCTTAGGAGTGTCCGTTGTGGACGCCGGTGGATGCAGCAGAGGCTTCCGAGATTCGATGCAATCTGGACACTGGAGATTTCCGGCTAGTGTCACTGCCCATTCAGGTGCCTTCCTTGCTCGTAGCAAGCGCTGCAAATTCCCGAATGAAGAATGCCCCGAGGATCGATGTATCCTCATCATCTGCTGCTTCACCAGTTCGAGTTTTCTTCCTGAGGGCGCTTCTTTTGGGAACTGATTCCTCGAGAGAGCGAACATCTCGGGCTCTTCCTTTCTCACCATCATCACATTCTTCTCCTCCTTGTCTTCGAAGGTCTCTGGAATCTCCACGAGGTAGGTCTCGATGTCCTTGGTGATGGAGGTGTCAGCCCGTTCCTCACTCGCATTCCAGGATCCCACTATCGCCTTTGTCACGGCCGTCACCACCTTCGATGGGTAGTATGCTGAGGCCTGAGCTGCCGGTCCACGGCATTCTGCGTGGTCTCCATGGCCAGGACATTTCTTCTGAAGGCTCATCCACAAACTCCGATTGGAGGTCAGAACTGTCCAGTTCTTTTGAATTGGGATGCCCTTGTACTCCAAACCATAAGCGCAGCCATGGAATCGACACCAGTAAACTGGTCTTCCAAGCTTCTTCATCACCCTCAGCAGGCGTCTGATCGCCTTAGAGTTCCACCCTTTTGAAGCTCCTGTGGGCCATTCCCAAGCAAAATCGGAGTCTCCTCTTGTCTCCAAGCTCAGCTCCACCGCCTCGGCTACCTCATCAGCTCTCTTCAAATCTTGTCCTTGCCGCCTTTCGAACTTGCCCCACTCTTCCTCAGATCTTGGAGTGAGGTTCTGAAGTGTTGACAGCCTGGTGCATGGAAGAGAAATCCAGCTCATCCGTGGAGGATGTGTCTGGAACTCCAGGCTCAGCATCTTCGTGCCCATCTTGCGGTCAAGGTCGTAGCCGCTGAGGTAGTTATACCTTTTGCAATGATAACCCATCTCCTCCATCCTCGAGGTCAATGCCGAGGTCGGAGAACATGCCACTTCCACAAAATCGGGGGCTTGAGAGAGATGCCCCATGAGCCCTTGGACCGGACAGGTCGAACAGGCTCCCAAGACAGCGACCCCGGCGGCGATCTTCTTGGCCAAGCCAGGCCATACGATGTTCTTCTTGGATTGGGTCTTGTCGTCTGCCTTGATCGAATTGATGCCATGCCGATGAACTTGGGCATGAGCTATGGCCTCCTCACAGGTGCCATGTCGTGTGACCATCATAGGTTTCCCATCATCAAATGGATAGGGCCCCGACGAAGCGTCCGTGTCGTGGTTCGTAGTGCTCGTGGTGCTCGTGGTGGTATTGTCGTATGCCGCCATTGCCTCGGGGGCGACTCCCTTCTCACATGCCTTCCGGCTTCTCTCCATTGTCCTCCTCAGGACCCAGATCCGGTCCCATAGCCCTCCTTGCCGTCCTCCTTCTTCTCGACTGCTTCCTTCTTGGTCTGGATCGGCAGGGCTGATGGTGAGCCCGGCACCGTCTCCTTCTCGCTGTCGCTGGGGATCGTGATCACTCCACTGCCCAGAGCCTGACGGGCCTCCTCCGCCATCTGGCCAATGCGATGCTGCTCCTGGTTGGCTCGTCGTGCCTCTTGTCCCAGCAGTTCGGTCCTGGGCATTGCCTCTGTGGCCAGCTCCTCGGCTCTCTCCGCTCGACGCCTCAGCTCGTAGTTCTCCGCCTCCAGGTAGGCTCGGGTCTCCACTGCATCCATCTCCTTTGGATTTGATGACGTTGCCATTGACTTGGCCGCCGCCTTTGCAGTGATCCTCGCCGAGTGCTCCTGAGTGATCTGGGTGACCGACTTGCCATCTGCTCGACCATGTTGCTCGATCCTCTTCATGTAGTCCGTGTAGGTCATGTTGATGGCCATGGTCTGACTCACCCCCAGCTGCAGCATCTTTCCTTTGATCTCCATCAGCTTCCCATTGACCATCTGCTCGGTGCAATGGTCGGGTGGTACTGTCTGCTGCAACTCCTCCAGCGCGAGCCGAATGAGATGTGGCTCTGGCCCCATCGATCGTCTCTCTCCATGGCTCTTGTCCTTGGACATGTAGAGCGTCCGCAGTCCGCACTTGGCGCAACTCACCCATGTGGCGAACTGGTTCGTTCGCTGGCGGCCCTCCTTGTGGTCCCCAAAGCAGGGATAGCCAGAGTGCCTTGGATCGTCGCATGCCGTTGGTGCCCGGGTGGTCATGTCCAAGCGTGCGGTGAACCTGCAAATCACGAAGCCTTTGGGCCAGACACTGCAAACGGCTTGTGACATCCAGGGACTGCTCACATGATCCAACAGGCAAATGCTCCGAACTTTCAGTTGACATCATCAACACTTGAGACTCCAATCGATCGGTCTCCGAGATTGAGATCGGCGCCTCCTGGGTTGAAGTCCGCTCCATGGCATAGATTGGAGCCTCAGCCAAATCAATCGTGAGATGTCCTGACTGTAGGGCTTGCATCTGCACTGAACGACTTGTCTGTTGTGCCTGTACTGTATCAATGTCACCATCATGAAACTTGATTCGACCATCTTGATATGACAGAACTGCATGTTTGCCGCGAAGTGTTCTTGCTCCAATGAGTGGCGGTGTTGCTTTGGCCATTCCTCCCAACACATAGAATGAGATGGCTCCCAATGAGGTCCCAACCAAGTCTGCTCTGCTGACTGCCTGATCGCGGTGTCCGTTGCCAAATCTGAAGGTTGGTAAATCCTCTTTGCAAACTGTGTATTGGAAATGACCGTGAACCACCAAGTCATGCAGTGCGTCAATCCCGATCGCGTTCTCAGTCGCCCCAGTGTCCAAAATCGCCCTGGTTGGTGCTCGACCATGTGAGGTGTGTTCATCCCACTGTGCCAACACTCCCGACAAGAAATAGGTCTTGCCCTTGGACGACTTGGAACCTTTCCCGGAGAAACCCTTGCCATAGCCCTTTCCTTTGAAGCTGCTCTTCCCTTTTGCACCTTTGCCAACTCCAAATGATTTGCCCTTTGGTGCAAATCTGTCCGGACACTGTTGATAGCCGTGTCCTGACATTCCGCAGATGAAGCATGGTCCATGATGGGTCTTCGATCCACCCTTGGACGATGGTGAACTCGGCTTCGATCCTGTCTTCGCCTTCCCCTTGCCAGAGCTCGACTCAGGAGCGTAATACCCCCGAGCCAACCGCACTTTGCGGACTGCCTCACGGGCTTCCTTGAGGGTTCGGTTCGCCTCGTTGGCAATGGCGAAGGCCTCTGACAACTGTGCTTCCTCCGGATCAGCTGATGTCTCATCAGGATACAGGTCTTCGTCTTCAACGTACCATGCGTCCTGCCACCAGTCCTCGATCCAGTCTTCGCCAGTCCAGTACGTCGGACTGCCATCATCATCTTGATGCCATTCGCTCCAAGCCCAGTCTGACCACCAGAGATCGTCCGACGGTCCTTCAATGTCATCTTCATCATACCAATCCTGTCCAACAAAACTGTCAGTCCACCAAATCCGCTTTGCTCCAACTTGCTGTCTCTCCGAGGTCTCGTCATTGTAGAGTGTCCTCAAAGCTCTTCTCACAAGATGGAAGCTGGTGGAGTTGGCTGTTTGTACCAAAACGTTCTGTCGCTCATGGCCGCTCAAACGACATGCCCGCAACAATCTGTAACCTCTCAACTCATCTTCAAAGAAATCTCCTGATGCAGTCGTCGTTGTCGAATGGATTGGGCCAGCTGAGGGAAATGTTTGGGTTCCCAAATCACGTCCCCTCTCTTCTCCAGCTCGATTCCCTGACATTGGGCTCCTCGATGGCGTTGACGGTGGATCAACACGAACAGCAGGTCGGGTTGGAAGAAAATCCTGTCCCGGTGACATCCTGTCCAGCCTTGCTCTAGCCAATGACTGTTGGAGTTCTGTAAACAATTCTTCCTCCCGGACTATCAGTTCGGCCACCGTTTCGCGATCTGTTCGCTTGAGATTGCTCCACTTGTCCAGCCTATTGAAACTGTCTGGAACTGGTAGACGTTGAAGTGGGCTCTCACGGAGCAGTGCCAAAAACTGATTTAACCCATCCTCATGATCAAACTGTTCGGGATCAGCATATCGAACTATCGACTTCGCAGCACCTGACAGCTTTCCCCAGAGTCGGGCCACCACCAGTCTCTCTCACTCTCCTTGGTGCCCTTCGAATACCATTTGCAGGCTGTGACGTACGATTCGAACGTTCCAGGAGAACCATCCCAGCTCGGAACAGGATCGCGGTCCTCTGGCATCGGTTGCCGGGGTATTATTGAGCCCCCCGGCCCGGCCCCGCTACCATGCACGACGGAATTGCCACCTACCGGCAACTAGCAAACAGCGCACCTCATGCGCACCCTTTTGACCGCGCTGGTCATGAAGTCTCGAGCCCTCCCTTCGACTGCGGACCATGATTGGATGAGGTTGGGTTACCATGGTTGTTGCATGGGTCTTCAATGATCGCACTAGTAGCTTCTTGTTACTAGAAGTAAGAATGCTCCTAGTAGCGATGCCAGGAGCTCCTAGTAGCGTCCTTGCTCCTAGTAGTAAGGCCAGGAGCCCCTAGTAGCTTCTTGTTACTGGTGCAACATCTGAGAGGCCTGAATTGTATCTACTCGGCTTCGGGCAATGGGGACAAACTTGCCAAAGCAACGGGTTAGCCAATCCTGGAGGAAAGTGCTTGAATGAGCAGCACCACGGTGACTACGGTAAGTGCTTCCACCCAAACTGGAAAGCCGCCTGTAGCTGTGGACCTGAGCTGTACCTCAGCTTTAGGCCCGGCAGCGATATGTGCAAAAAGAACGTTTTCCAGGGGTTTTCTGAGTCTCTGGGACGTGCACGTTGCTTGATCTTCTTCGCCATCTGTCACTGTCACCTAGCCCCCGCCAAAAATGCTTCAGGCACTACAAGTCAACAAAAAGCGCAGTCAGTGAACAAGTAGCATACAAAAATAAAATATTTACTGTAGTCTTGGTCATGTACACCTCCCATTCAATAGTCTTTGGGTGTTTCACGTGTTAAAATTGTTATATATTATATATATATGTATATATATATTACATCATTGATTCATTCATATGTACATCTCGAACATGTGGAGGTTGACATGTCCATCATCTACTTGCCTCCCAGCCAGGTGGCTTCCATACCTTGATCGCATTGTTCGCGTCATACAAGGTTGTCAAGTAATGGGATTGGCAAACAAGCTTACTAGGCGGAGCTAGGGCTGGCACAATGCACACGCTCCTGTCCCAGCAAAGTATAGCGGGCTCGGCCATACCTCACATTGACGGTCATTTGAACAAATGATCTTACCCGAGCACTACGCGGCATGCAATAAGACACTCAACAATTCAAAGCCTAGAAAAAATGTGAGCAAAACAGCAACCAGTACTGTAAAAGAAGCTAAGAAGACAATGGCCTTCGCTTCTCAACATGGCAATACCAAGCTGAGAAGCAAAGGGCCTATATATACTCCTGGTGCAGTTTGTCGATGTGGCATCTCCCAGAGAAGAGCTTAAAACATGAGGAAGTCGCACTCGTTGAAATCTAAGTCTGCCTGTGTGTGTGTGTGTGTCAACCCCTGTGCCTAAGGGTTTGGATTCACCTGTTTCACAAGCAGGGGGCCAGCGCATGACATAACGAAGCTAGTGATGTCATGGGATGCGGTCAGAGACGTCTGACCGTGCACCTGCCAAGAAACTGTTGCTCACGCTGTCCAATCTCCCTTTTTGTTTCCATGGTGGTTCCATGATACCTCCCCGAAACCTTTCTTCCTTCAGCCACGTTCGACAGCCACGTTCAGCAGCCGCGCGTTTTCTGCAGTCATGTGCAAACAATGTTGAACAATACTTTTCCACGGACTCTGCCACCTTGCCGTTCCCTCGCCTTCCTTCTCAGCGTGGGAACTGAGTGTAACTGAATACCAATGTCAGAGTGTGTGTCCCATGCTGCGTCCCATCAATCTCAATTCTTGGTCAATGGCTGCAGTTCCCCAACACTGGGGTGAAGGACCTGACCTGGCAAGGTGTCACACGGCATGTCTGCTGCAATGCTTGGTGCAAAGTGTTATTATCTTCGTTGGCACTTCTTCTCAAAGAAGTTGACATAAACTGGCCCCGGCACCTGGTGACTCTCGTCCATTTCTCGGCCTAGCCTTGTCAAGTAGGATGCCTCGGCAAAAGCTTTCGTCATGTTGAAGCATACCGCATACCCCATTCAGCTTGGAAATGGCATCTTCTCAATTTAGCATGAGGAGTTGAACCTGCTGAACAATCTTATGCCGCTTCTTCCTCTTGAGGGCGGAATGCTCTGACAAACTGTCATGGCTCCCAAACCTTTGCAACTACCTTCGCACCAAATTGCCAGTAGAAACCTTGCATTGATAAGTTTTGTTTGTCAACGAGTCTCTGATCCGCCCCTCCTTTTCCGGCAATTTCCTTGAAGGTCCAAACTGTGATTTTCACATCAAGCCTGATTTCTTCGTAACTTGAAGCTCTATCTTAGAGTTTTCGACGTGCTTGCACCTGGGCAGGCATCTCCCGTTCGGACACTGACACTTGACAGCTCAGCTGGCGCCCTGCCAGATCCTGCCAGTATGCCATCCGTGAAATAGATTGGGCCATAAACAGTCCTCACAAAACTATGTGGAGAGAAGTCGAAGTCGATGGCAAAACCATGAGGCAAGAGATCTTCCCTCAATTCATCATGTAAGGCCCGACCGTGGGTGCCGATGTGCAAGTGTAGGACATTCCTGGCCAGTTTCAAATATGAATACAAGTACTATCCCTGGATGGCAGTGTTGAGGCGGCTCACACAGACACATAATCGTTCGAGAATTAGGATTCATGCTCACTTGGGCATTGATATTGCTTAGTTCCACGGAAAATGGATCAAAGCTCAAAGCGGAATCCAAACATGGTGGGTTCCCATCTCGCATCTCACCCCTTTGTTGACTTGTTCATGCATGCCTTCGGTACAGGCCTTAAATATCCTTAAATTATACTGCGTCCTCCTTCCGAACAACGCCAGGGACTTGCTTCGTTCAAGCCAAGGCTTGAGATCTTGAAGAGCTGAACAACAGCAGTTGGACTTGATCGAACAAGAACATCAAGAACTCAGCTGCCAGTAAAATGTCACAACTGTTCTAGCCCACATCCTTCTAATTCTATGGGGATCTTGAGCTTCACTCACCAAAACATGGTTCAACTAAGTGTCGACAAACGCTTGCTACCCTTGATCAGCTCCAGCTCCGCCCCCTGTATGTCAATGTGTAGCATGTCGATGCGGCCATACCCTTGGACAAGGGCATCGAGGAAGGATGCGGTGACATTCCTCAGGGTCAGGAAGATGACTGACAGGGTGTTGTTCCGAGAATTCTAGGGTCCTGATTCCAATTGAATCAGGGTCCTGATTCCAATTGAAGCAGGATGATGGAGTCACACAGTGGTGCTATACTCGTTGCTATACTTTGAGAAGTCACCTTTGTAATCTTTGTAATTATATATTGGTTTACTGTAATCATTGCTGTGATCAGATCTTGCTTTCCTTGCCAAAATGCTTGATTTGGACAAATCAAGATGCTCTTCAAAGATGGAGATGTTGCACAGGTCATAAATGTTGTTCTCCCTGAGGTGCTCCACTATCTTCCTCTTGGGGCAGTCTGATTCGATCAGAATTACGGTGCAAGAGCCCTTTTTGCCAAATTGCCGGCGAAAAGCCTTAGCAGCCTTCAGCGACCAAAAGCCAATAGATGAACCAACTTCGACATGCACAAACTCAGGAAATTCACCACTTCTACCCAGTCTCGACAGTGCCTGCAATAGCGAAATGGTTTCAAAATAATCCTCACCTGGAACTGGGCCCCAAGGAAGACCCCAACACTCCAGTTGCCGTGTTAGTTCGGGCTGGACTTGAGGTTCAGGCATTGACCCTGTGCCACATTTATGCCGAACACCAAGCCAGTCTGTCGCTAGCGTAGGAGGTCTTGTAGGAGTTTTGGGTTTCTCATGGCAAGAAGGGGACCAAGCCCTGATCAGTTCGTGATGAGCAAAACATCTCTCAGGCTCCCAAGGATTGAAAGCAGCGCACTGGTACCCAAGACCGGTGCAAATCGCCGTATGGTTTGCCAACATCGCGAAAACCTTCCATCTTGACACCATTAAATGGTACCACCTCAGGTAAGAAGGCCAGAATCGATGCATCGCAAGATCTTTGTAAAACTGTTCATCTTCTGGCTTCATAGGGTAGCGTGCCTTGAGCGACACCTCTGAACATGTCTTGTTGCTTCCAAGCTGTCCCTGATGCAACGCAACATCTGCCATGACAGCCATGTTCAGCATTGCCCGAGAACATCTGGTGAGGTGCTGCTCCATGAAAATAGACCCCTTTGGAAATCGGAGGAAATCCAAGCACAGTTGGTGTACATCAGTTGGTTCTGCAAATTTCAAGCCGTCCTGGAACTTCCACAGTTCATTCTTGAATTCATTGAAGTTTATCGTTTCGCTTTTGTCCTGGGGCCGCTGGTGGGGGTAGGTGTCCAAATCATGCAACCGCTCAGTCAAATGTGAAGCCCTGCAGCACAGGGTAGATGGTCTTCCTCTGCAGGCCTCCTTACAGTCCCATTGCCGTACACAGACTTCATTTGGAAAGCTCCGGCAAACATGGGCACAAAGCAAAAAAAATGCCAGGAGCAGCATGCAATCAATAACTTGTGTACTTTCCGGTGCAGCGTGGCCAGCTAGTCATTTGAACGTGTATATATAGTTGTATATATATATACACATAGTTGTATATTTTAAAAAACTGATTATATATATAAGTGGGGAGTCCATGCGTCCATGATTCCAACCAGAAGATACCAGAATAACAATTTCTGGCCCTTAGGTGTTGCTGCTGCTGAACTCCTCTTGTCCTACCCCGAACGCTTCACAAGGGTCACAAGGGCTCGGTTTCCAGTGCATCATGTAAAGCTCATCTGCACATGCCTGATGTGGCAGTCGGACATGAAATGTTTCCTCATCGGGTCTTCCCTTTCCCGGTCGCTTTCTGCAGCCTATTGATGGAACGCTTGAGCAAGGCATACGACCACAAAGCCCTTCAAGGACTTTGTGGGTTGGACTAATTTCGTAGACACCCTGAACGCGGCTTCATTGGACACAAATGTGACGACGGCTACGTGTTCAGAAATGCAAAGGAGGCTTACGCTTGCCCTGGACTCTTTATTTATTATATACACATGCCACTCACATGCCATCAGGGCCCGCTCGCCAAAGCGCCACTTCAGAAAATCTAAGCTCTCGCGCGGCAGCAGCTGGAACGTCACTCGATGGGCTCTCTGATAGCCTTGCCATGGAAAAGAGAAACACATCAAAACTCCAGTGTTCCCTAACTGGTCAGGTGACTTCTTTCAAGATCTTCACGAAAACACAATCGTGCCAGCTGATTGCTCAGAAAGAAGCAGAATGCAAATTAAACTGCGAACCGTACCTAGTGAAAGCATATGCCAAAGTCAACGGTGCCATATAAGCCTGGAAAGCAGTCAACAAGGTGGAAAGAATGCTATCACTCATGGTTGTCTAGAATCTAGCAGACAACCAGCTTGGGGTCGTCGTCTAGAGGGTAGATATTTTCGCCGACTCTGCAGAGCGGCGTCTCTCTCCTCACATGTAAACTGTGTGTCACCAAACCGATATGGTGATTTGTAGGTGCAAGGCGTCCAGTCATCCTGCCGGTCCAAAATGCAAAGGGCGGGGGACTTTGGTGTCTTTTCAAGTGGAGCTCATGGCCTCTTGCAAAGAGGTCCCTTCTGTAGGCAACCTAGAGCAGGTGAAGCATCGTGAAGCAAGTCAAATGCAAAAAGCATAGAAAAAAACAGATATAGAAAAGCTACACATCATCAGCTCAAGGCTGAAGGATCTCAACCGCTCGCAAAGCAATGGCGTTGATGAGAGGCATGCCTTGGACTTCTTGCAGGATTGAGTATGGATTCCAGGAAGAAATGACTTTGCTTTGGAGCCCTGCCAGCTTTTTCTGAATCACCGAAAGTCCAAGCCTGAGCTTGCAAAGGTTCCTTCTCAAAAACCAAACTCACCTCAACCTGGCCTTCGGATTTATAAGCACCAGGCAACCATTGACAAGTTCTGTGAATCTAGCGCATGCGCCTTGGCACAAATGCACGTTTTTTCATTTAAGACTCGATGGTCCCAGCGGTAGAAAGCCCCTGCAAAAGTCCAACCTCTGAACTGAACTCTCAAACTCGCAGTCATCATCGGTTGGGTCCCGGTCACGACGCTCGATCTCTGCGGCAGCTGCACTCAAAAGGGCTTCCTTCCGTGAAGAGAGGGTCACAAAAGCCCAAGCCTTGAGAAATGGTGGGAGATTGTGAGAGTGGCAGTAGACAAGGGATTCGCGGATGGGGCTGCAAAGCCTGCCGCGGGTCTGGGGTGCAGGCGGTGTTAGCAAGTGCCTGATCGTTGAAACCTGGAAAGTGGCACCAAGGCTGGTCAAAAATGGTAGCTCAAAACGTGCGAAAGAAGAACTGTTACGCCAAGCCAAGGCGTTGGCTTGAAATCTTGGCCCGTCCTTCTTCTGCGAGGACATCCTCCCCACAGCCAAAGTGTCTGAAATGATGCCCCTTTGGAAGGAGCAACTCTACCATTCAGGTCGGAACCATCAGCGGAACATCCAAAAGGTCTGACTTTCCATGCCTCAGTCACTGAAGCAAATTATCAATCTTGTTTGATCTTGTTATATATATATAAATTAAATACTTATTGCTGAAACTAGACGATGTACTTGTTCTGATTCATTTTGCAATCCACCCTTGAATCTTGCAGGGCAGGGTTCCAAGCCAAGCAAGTCACCTTACGGCTGCCAGACTGGGCTGCTCGCCCTCACGCAGTGGAAGCCAGCTCCGTTGCTTTGAACTCTCGGATCTGCAAGTGAGGCTTCAAAGTTCAAGAAAACATGAATCTGTCATGCTTGTTGAAGTCATTGAAGCCGACACTGCAAAGTCTCAGAGGGTGCCAGACTGTGCAAGCAACAAGAAAGGCCCTAATTATATAGTAGCTTCTTGCTCCTAGTAGCGATGTCGATGCCCTTTGTTCCTAGTAGCTTCTTTAATTTGTGTGTGTGTTTCTCCCTAACAGTGTGCCAGCACGCCACGACACCCATACGGTACGACGAATCAACATGTCGTTGAGTTGATGGAGTCCCCAACACTATGGCATTATGGCAGAGACTTGCTCAGGCCAAACCGAGTCATTGGGTCATTCCTGATATTGTCAGGACAATGTGCAACACGCGACATCAAATCAACAAAAGCAACCCAGCCTTCACAATAGAAGCTGCTGAAAGTGCCTTGACAGCAGTGCAAACGTACATATTTGATTTGGCTTACGGTTACGCGACTACACCCCGTCATTTCATGTAATTTGCATGACACCAAGAAGAACTTCACTAGCCGTGTATTGGAGCTCTTTGTGCAGGCTCCACAGTTCCAGTAACGGCCGTTGGGGCTCCACCTCTAGCAAAGGCCGGTCTCGTGCATGTATCGCTCTGAATCCTTGCCCTATGTTGGACAAGTCCTGGACAAAGGGGGATTAAGCTTGCACTTCTGCGTCAACCGCGGAACAGATTCGTGAGCACCTGCACGTATGGACTTCCGTGCAGGAGCCACAAGAATGTTTCTCTAGCTGCGTGAGTAAGTTCGGCGAAGAGAGCTGTGATACATGTCCTGGCAATTGAGCTCGTTGATGCATTGCACAGCTTTGCCTCCAATTGCCTTCAGCAGTCGAAGTCGATATGCACATTTGTCCAACGAATCCGCAAAATTCAACATAAGTATATAATGTATGATTGTGAATCTTGACTTAGTGGTTCTTCGAGCTCTACATTCAAGCCGACCGTGGTGATGTGAAGAACTGTGAAGATGGGCAGCTAGCTTGACTCTTTGTGCCTTAAAAAGGGCAACGTCTACCAGCTCATTCTCAGCAGCTCTCCACGCAAAACCTCGTCGAATGAACAGGACTTGATTTGGTGCAACTCGTGTTGCAGAATCACCAGTTCTTTGGTCATTGCCTGGTTGACTGAACAACTGTTCAAAACTAATTAATGAAGAACATCACCATGACACGATGAGACAACTGCTTGCCAAACTTCGCGCATCAAACCTGGCCAATCATGCTAGGGCTCAAATGGCAAAACAAGCCAGGCTCCCTCCGGACCTCCGTATCTGCAGTCGCGCGGTGTCAGCAATAGCGCCGAGTGCATTGGGATCGTTCAACTGCCACTTTGCGCTCCATGCTTCATGTGGACTGCAAAGCTATGCCTGCAGTTCACTGGCCTTCAAAGCAGCAGCTGCTCATGCAAAGCCAGCCTGAAAGCACAAAAAAATACTAAAAATACTAAAATATCAAGCGTCTAAAGCCTGTCACTTCGACACAAACGGAATGATCCGAGTTAAACCGAGTGAATTCAGTCTTGTGCCAGGTTCTTTGGAGGGAAGTTGGACCTGAGGAGCGCATCCAAAGTGGAATTTGATGTGCCAGCATCACAAGGCATCTGAGGCACAAGCGCAGACTCACTTGCACGACTACAAGCTGCCTCACACAGCAACAAATATCCAAAACTCATGTGTGAGACATCCATGCTTGCTGCATGCTAGTTGCTCAACTAACAGCAACAGTAGTTTTCAAGAGTGAGCTGCATGGCAATGGGAGCTATCGGATCAAACAAAAGGTATCAAAGCTATCGGATCAAACAAAAGGTATCAAACATGCTCTGTCATGCTCTATCTCTGTCTGGACTTTTTGTCCCTCACCTGGAAGAGCACCTTGCTTCTGAGCTGAAGCCTTGCCCATGCCTTTGAGGTGTCGGTGGCTCGAAGCAGATTGATCATGCTGATCTCAATCTCTATGACTCTATGGCTCGGTTGAGGTCAGTCTGACCAGTCTGAGCTCTTTTCCCACAGCGCGTTTTGGACTTCATACCTTGCAAATGCCGAATGCCCCTCACTCTTAGAAAACGGTGATTTCTGTTGGTCAAAACTTGCTTTGCCAAACTGACTTGAGAAATCTTGGCTCAGCACGGCTGCAGCTCCATCATCTGGTTCTGGAGCAGCTGCCCAATGGCAAACATGCATTGCCTCAACGGCAACTCTGGATCTCTAGCAATTTGGCACGATGAATTGCTGTAGAGTTCGGGGGTGGGATTCCACACGCAACCCGTTGTTTACATCAAGCTTCCTCTTGTTGAGGGGTCTGAGGCCACGTCTCATGCAAATGTCGCGCTGTAGCAAATCACCAGGCAGCGTTCACAAGTTGTTGTGAACCTCTAACTCTAAGCATCCAAGGATTCGTGTGAGTCTGAATGGGCAGGTGGTTTCAACTCAATGTCATCTATCGGCAATTTGCTCAGGCTCTTGCTTAGCTCATGCACTTGGCGGATCACCTGAGGGTCACGACGGCTCAACACGATGCAAGGCAAATTCACCTGCTTAGGCAGCAGCTTGAGTAGCGCATGCTTCGAACAGACTCTCATCGACCTTATCTCGGTGGCGGTGGCTTGATGGTTTGAACTGGCTCTGATTCTCAATTCTGCCCGAGTCACAAGATAGGTCTTTGCCATTGATCAAAGGATGCTTGATGAGTCCTGGGGCCTTGGCAAGTTGAGGTTGGGATGACAGTAGTGATCAAGAGGCCAAGCCTGTGATTTAAGTTCTCAACCCTGGATAGTCTGAGGCAGTGTCCCGAGCTGAGAAATTGAATTCAGCGTCTATCGAGCGATGGCTCCAGAAAGAACCTCACTGTACAAAGTCGCAGGCAGTTCATGTGCAACTAGGAAGCGAGCCAACGAGCACCAGGTCAACACATTTGCACAGCAGGCATCTCTTTTGACATCTTTTGACTATTGCCCTCCATCTTTCGGAGAAGTCAACCCATCATGGGTAGTCTTATCAACTCACCACATTGTCAGGACGTTGGTGTACTTCAACTCTCTCAGCAAAGGTTGACATACATCGTCGACAAAGCCTTTCGGACCGCACAAAATAACCACCAAATCTTCCTCAGCTGCCAAGCTGTTCTGACAATCTCAACTTGCAGAACGGAACAGAAATAGACACGGCTGCATTGCTACATACGGCAATAAAAACTTTATATATAATATATATATACATATCAAAAAAATACATATACATATACTGTATATATACAGAGAGAGAGAGAGAGTGTTATATATATATGATTGCTGACACCCAAATCGGCCCATCAGTGTCACAGCCTGAATCCCCAACCCCAAAAATAGTGCAAGGTTTCGGCGGGTGGTGGAAAGATGTCTCCAATGATTTCTTTCGTCAGCTTGCCGTAGTTGTACGCCATCCCTGAGCAAGCAAGTTGAACGAGGACAACAAAGTACGGGCTACTAAAGAACCTGCGCTGCCACAACAGCAAACCATAGCAAAACGGACGAATTACCAAAAGCTTAGAGCGCCAATTACAAGCAAGAACACAAACAAACATTATGAAATATGCTTGAAAAGCGCTACCCTGATGAGCCTTCTCGGTGTGAGATTTGCCTCACCAACTCACCATCCTTCTGACCGGTGGCCAGGTGTGTCACCGTGCAGTGTGGTGCCAGTCCCATCTCCGACTGCGGACTGTACCATGTTGTCTCCAGTCTGAGAACACCAGGACGAGTCTGAAGTTTGAGGTTTCCCACATGTGGCTGCAATGAATGTTGCATCTTTGTTGGTCAAACAAGCTGAGCTGCCTTTCGTCCATGTTGCGCATCGCGTGGATGATGGAGAATTCTCTGAGCACGTCGCTCTTCGCATTTGGCTTGGAGAAGCTGGAGCGGCATTCTTCACGGCACTGCCGGAGCAGTGACAACACAGGGGTGATGCCAGAGCCTCCTGCAAGAGCCTCAAAAGTGAGACAACTTTCGTTCTATTCCACATGGTTCCACGAGAAAACATTCAATATCATTCAATCACCTGTACAACACCGTGCCAGTAGCTCAGTGACACAGCAAGTGGAAGCTTTCACCAGCTTGCCATCAACCACAAAGTTGCCATTGCCACGGTAGACCTTGCTGCCATGAGGTCCGGACAGCCAGACTTCCTCTCCTGGGCATTTGACGTACGTACGAATCTTCTAGCAAACGGTTTTGGAAATCACTGATTGCACTGACCGCTATGCCGCATAAAATCTCAAACGCAACATCGTAGCAACAATAACAGTGCTGTCAAGGATCCTTCCTTGACCTCTAGACAGAGCTTTGTGCTGCCTCTGCCACCATCGGGAAATCCCGCTTGGGGATCTTGCGGGTAGAGCTTGATCTCAGCAAGTGATTCTTTCGTCAACGTGATCAACTACACAAACAGTGTAGTTGGTTCAGTGTGAGGGCTTAGCTGGGGGGCAAAGCTGCTAATTGCTCGAGGCAGGCTGCAATGAAGTCAACGGTGGAATCCTTTGATGAATTGATTGGCCTCAGTTTCAGCTATCTATATAACTTCTCGTCAAGCTTACATTTCGCACTGGCTCACATCCACGAGCACTTTCCGCCAAGGCTTTTCACAGTAAAATTGAAATACTTTTCCACATCCGAATGTGCAAGCCACGTGTAAGACCGGCTCAGGTAGTCCCGCGACTCTTCCAAATTGATGTGGCCGTTCCAACTGCTTTGTCCCTGCGAAGTCATTGTGCGCTTTGAAGGGATGTCTTTAACATCATTGAAACACGTGCTCCATCCTCCTGTGCAATGCACTGACTCTTCCAACCTGGCCTGGGACGCGTTCCCACACAATATTTTCACATGCTGCCCAGGCTGCAGGCCACTGCTGTAGCCTTGCCAGCGGAAGAACCTCAACACCAAGCATCCCACTGGTGACAGTACGGGCCGAAAGTAGTGAGCTGAGGAGAGCACCAAGGGAAATCGAACTTCAGGTGGTAAAGGTTGCTGCTGACTTTTGTCTTGCTTCTGAGAATCACCCTCTTGGGCCTGGCCTAGCGCAAAATCCTATTTGCAATGGAGGCCAAGATTTCGTGCCGCAAGACATCAAGAAACCAATCCGAAATGTCAGCCATTCGCCTCGACATATCGGGCATGTCGAGAGTCGAAGAGGGGCACGGAGCTGAAGAACTTCAGTCCGGCTCCAAGGATTGCCCAGGTGAGGATCGTGATAGTAAACCAAGGGAAGTCCAGAATGTCTTGCTCCGAATCTCGGAGACGAGGGACAAGGCAACAGCATATGATATACAGGTGCACATAATACTACTGTAACAACGAGCGTAACCTGCCAAATGTGCAGCTTGGGTGCGATGTGGCCAGTTCTTCAGCATCACCAATTGAAACTTGGCTGGTCAATGTTTGTGGTAGAAGCATTTGTACGATGCGTTGACGGACCCAAGTATGTTTGGCAACATGAGCATCTTTCCTGTTTACAGTGCCGCGCAACGCTCAAGCATGCACCGATCCAAAGGACATACTTGTTGAGACCATAGACTCCTCGGCATCATCAATTGAGGCATACGGCTTGCAGAAATGCCAACTCTCTCTCTCTCTATCTATCTCTTCGGGCTGCTTCCAAGACACGTGTGCAATAGCAGAAAATGCTGATGGCCTGACGGGCGCAGTATGAATTGCATGTGACTCCTCTTCTTTCGTTCAGGGAATGCCTGAATCTGCACAAAGACTCTGAAGGATCGCATCATGAATCCGCAAATCCAGCTCTGCCACAGGCTCCAAAAGTATGTCACGTGACATGTGCGTGAGGAGATCACACCTCACAAGTGCACAAGTGGAAAAGGTCACCCAATTGCTTCGACATGCATAGCATGCCCATAGCATGCCCAACTTGCAACGTAGCGCTCATGCCAATGGATTTGAATGGCTAGGGCTAGGGGCTGTCAACACTCGCAACTTTGCCTAGCCTTTCCTCACAAAGGTCATCAGCACAGAGTACAGCTGGTAAGGAAGGATCATCACCTTAGTGGTTCACCCTGTTTCCCTGAGCACACAGTGACAAGTTCTCAGGCCAAAGCAAAGTAGAGATCCATGCCAGGCCCAGCAATGATGATCACTACAGTAGTATAGATCTGCGACATGGAGTACCAGGTCCGGAACATAGATTCCACCCATTTCCTCAGCAAAAGATTCTTCAATTGTTACCATAGTTCACCAATGTTCATCATAGTTCTATGTCTTAAGCACTCTTCCTCTCATCTGACCTGCCATGGTGCGGGCAGTGCTCCCAGTATGGCATTGTGCTCACCAAGGTCTCGTGAGTGTCATCCCGCAGCCAAGCAGTGGCCAGGTCTGCGAGCCGCATTTGAGCAAAGACAGACAGCCTAACACTGGAGCACAACGGCTAAACATGCGTGTTGTTGAGACAATTTTTCTCTCTAATTCTTTCGGATGGTTCTTCTTCACCATGTGCAGCTGAAAGGGCTGGTTCACTGTCATTTGCGCCCATGATGGCCATCCTGCCATTGCTGCGTAGCGGTTGACCATCCAAGCACCAAGGAAGCAAATCGTCAGTCGGCTCACAAAAATCAGGTTGTGGGCTCGCCTCAATGGAAGGCATGCAAACCGGACAGAATTCGACAATGCCTGCTATCGATGATGCTATAAAGTTGAAGCAGTCACTGCTTGGTCAGTGCATGTTTTCTTAGCGCTTCGATGGGCCACTTTGGTGAACCTGGCTCTCTACTTGGCTCTATTCTAAGCCAGAAAGGTCCGGCTTGAGAGCACCACGTACTGTCGGTGGTCGTCCTCTTGGAGGACGTCCCCCAGGCTTTGACAGGGAGCAGCGCTTCAGCTGTCGGTTCCGCAAGAAGGCCGCGTAATCCCCGATTTTCCAAACGGGGCCCGAGCTTTCAGTGAAAGGCGTGATCGTCAACAGATCCACCGCCAAGTTCCACGCCTCATGTTCATTATCCATGTCAGGGCCGCAGTAGCCTCGAACCATCCGTAAGGCCTCACGCAACGGTCGGAAGCCGCCACCTTGAAGAAGCGCTTGAACTACAAAGTTACGCTTCCTCCAGAGGTCCCACAACGAATGCTGTTGGCCAATTATCAGCCTCTCGTATGCCTGTCGTACCATGACCTCACCAGCCTGATTGACCCTGCTGGCACGGCATTTGATAAGAGCTTTCACATCGCTTTGCGAGAATGTAAGCTTCACCGCATCTTCAGCTGCTCGCAGCTCTTCATCTTGCTCCTTGTCGGCACCCAAATTCCACGCACGCAACTCATTTTGCCGAACACTGCGCTGTCTGGTAGTGCCAGCTCCCGTGGCATGCATACCACGGCGCCAGAGGGAAACTGCAGCATCAACAGCTCGACTGGGTAAGGCCGTCATTGCTGCGTAGTCTGTCCGTTCGACCCAGCCAAAGCTCTCAGCAAAGTCAGCACTTCCAAACCTGAGCCAAAGTGCCAAGCTCATCAAGCAGCTTTCAGCAAAGTCCAAAACCTGATGAGAAGGCTGTGCCAAGCTCACCCTGTCTTCCGCCCGGATTTGTGCCAGTGCGGCTTCTAGGTGGTTGCGCTCCACTGCTGCATGCACGAGTCTCCGCATTCGCTCAGCCTGACTTTCTTGGTGTGGTGATCTCCTGGCATCTTGAGACAGAATCCAACCTGCCCAATCAGTGTCATAGGCTGGGTCATATGAAGGTGAAGACGGAAGGCGTGGTGATGCTTCAGCCGACTTCAGATTGGCGGGAAGGCCATTGGAGCAAGGACTACGTTTGCCTTTGTACATGACCAACTAGGCCTAGGCATGCGTGGAGCATCGCTCCAGGCGGGCAGAGCACATGTCCCGACCTGGTGCAAGTGCCACCACAGTCACAAATGCTTGAATTTGAGCAGGAACATTGCCAGGGGCAAGCTATCAGGTATGCCACCATTGCTCAGAAACCGCAACCTAGCGGCGACCTGGTGGATAAAGATGAAAAGCACGTAAATCCAATCAAACCCTTCACACGGTATAGTGAATTGGCCAAGTTGCCACTCTTGCCAAATCATGGGCCCTGAGAGTGGGCGGTTCTGCGGGACTGTGAAGATAAAGGATGAAACCTGCAAGCCCTCGACAATAAAGATGCTTGCCTTGGCTGCGCACTGTACACTAAACCAACCTAAACCAGGCAGTGCTCCCAACTCACCAGCCAAGCAAGTGTCACATAGTGCAAGCAAGCATCCAATGCCCATAAGTCGGGTCTGAACCCTGCATAGTCAGTGCCTTCTGGCTCTATCTGGCCTTGGATTTCACATCAAGTCAGTCCGACTCGGACGCCACCAGCCTCCCCTTGGGCCCCAGCAAATCCAAACAAAAATCCGGTACAAGTACATGGACAAGACGGTGAAGCCCAACACTTTGTGCACCTGAGTCACAAGAGCGCCTTGTCGAGCTTTGCCTGTCTGCGTTAGTGCTAGTGAATTTGGCCCCCAAACCTTCAAACAACGTGCCTTTTACAATTGGTGTTGCAACTTGCACCAAGGGCAGGGCGTTGTACGGATCCTCTTTCGTGAAGATTCGGCTCAAAACCTTGAGTCAAACAACCACAAATAACAATGAGGCGCTACTGTGTAGAACCTGGTGTTTGGGCTTGGGCATGTTCTGGCCGACTCCATGTGCAACTGAGTGACAGTGTCCTTCTCAACTGCGATGGCCCCCTGTGTCTTCGCATTCTCCAAAAAGCCAACTGCTCGCTTTTGAATCCTTGAAGTGAATGCCAAATTCTTAGGGGTCTGGTAAGCTATGTCACCGAACATGCTAAAGTCATTGCAATTCTAATTAACTGCTTCCTCAAAAAGAATTCTTATATCATTTGTTTCGACTCAGCGACACTGAAGCTCGTCAAAAAGCCGAGGTTCTGCTCCAAGGCAAACTCTGAATGGCCCACGTCGTGGAACGGCTCGGCTGCTTCGCTGCCTACATCCAGTGCGGGCCGCATCAGCCGCAACTCAAAGTTTCAAGTCTTGAATCTCTGCAAACATACCCTGCGCTGGTCAGCCTGCATGCTGCAAAAGTAAGTCAACTCCTCCAGGATGGCTGGTGGCAAAATCCGTGAGATTGGCCACAAGGCCATCCACTGATATCCACAAATCTCCCTGGCGTCGTGCATGTGAGACACTCTGCAGCAAAATGCCGCAAACATGCTGTTACATGTTGGATTTGTTGAGCTGCGAATTCCAAGACAAGGAATCCATTAGGTCACTCGTGCAATTTGCCGTGCCAAGCCAGAAACCCTCAATCCAGCCAGCCAGTCAGCCAGCCAGCCAAGCAAAAAACTTCATGAAACGAGGCCAAACCACTATGTTAAAATACATGCCAAAGAACCAAACCCAAAGGCAAGTGGCCGAACCTACGGTAAAATTAGAGGCCTGATTCCGACTGCAGTATGACAAGCTGAAAATGAACCTCCAGAAGAGAATGTATGTGGGTTGGTTTTTTGGGGCCCACTAATTAATTTGGTTGCATTGCATTCTGATGGATACGAGTAATTACCGTATTTGTCCGTTTGATGAATCAAGCTTTTGAGTGTTAGTGCCGTGCTTCTCTCAATCGCCCTGTGCTTCAGATTCCCATCCAAGCTTCACTTTCAGGATGTGATCTTCCTATACCTGTCTGACATCTCTGCCTTGCTTTTCAGTGGCCCCCGTGGCCTGGTGGTTGTGCTTCTTCAACTCGTCCACGCTGATGGTCTTCAAGTCGGTTGGTCCATCTTTGTTGCTCTCACGCATCATGGGTGGCACTTCCTGAAACGGCCGCCATGACATACAGAAACTGAAAGGTTTGCGCCGGTAAAGACAACCATGGTCCTGCCTTGAGCGTCGTGATCCAGAAGCAAAATAGAAACAAGAAAACTGAGGCAGAAATTCCAATAAGGCGTCCCTGCTCTCTATTCGCTGTCTTCTCCTTAACTGAGTGCCGGTGTCATGCAGATTGGTTGGACAGGAATTGTAAAGTGTGTATGTCTGTCTTAAATTGTCTAAACACGGGGGCACAACATGAGCTTCACTTCATTATAGCTCCGTAGCTTGGACTTGCAAAGAATCGGCTTTTGGTATGGATTGAAATGCTCGGCTGGGGATACACGCACTCGGCTTGAAAACTAAAATGTTGGACACCACAAGCTAATTGGCTCCCCTTTCCTGGAGTACTTCAATGCAGACTGCCCTTCGTCCTCAGAAAACCTGTTCGGGCAAGACACCATCCAGGCTGGCCATGAGGTCTGTGCGGTTGCCGCACTCAACTCATCCAGAAAGGATACCCTTGCAAACAAAAGCTGTCTTTCGACGCCCGGCAAATTCTACATACAAAAAAACTGAATCAGTTGAATCAACCAAGATGCAAATTGTCACTCACCAAGGAGACAATGCTTGGGTGTAAGGAGCTGTGATTTCCTTGGTGCGGCCGCATTGGCACATGTCGTCTTGTCTCTCTCCGCCTTTCCGAAGGTGATCTCAGTGCAGGACTGTTCGCTTGAAGCTTTTGGGCAACCACATCCTCTGCACCAACTCATGATTTGGAACATCTTGCACAGAATGGTCCCAGAATCAAGAGATGGACGATGCATGACGATGATCTGTTTCCAATGCGAACCAAAGCATGTCAAGGCCAATGCCCGGCCTCTAGCTGCTTTGCCGATGTCTCCTTGGATGAATTTGCATCTGGCTTCTTTTGCAGATCCAAATGGGTCTGCAGCAGCTCAACCTGCCCATCTGCACATGAGTCAGGAACTGCAGCAATCTAGTTGCTAAATGCTCGTCAGTGGACTTGCCATGTTGCCTTCCTTTGTTTTGACTTGATTGGTCACTGAGTCCACTTTCTGGTCAACATGAAATAGCCATGACCGCCTGTGTCAGCAAAGCATCATCATCACCTTCGAATGTCTCACATTGCCTTAGCTCTTCGGTCTTCGCAGCTCTTCACAGGTCTTCTCCGCAGCTCTTGCTTTGCAAAAACGTGTTTTTTGCCAAGAGGCGAAGCCACCGAAGCGGCACAAGCATCGGCTGCGGCGCTTACACCGAATTGCAATGAAAGGAGGCTCAAAAGAATTGCACATCCTTGGAGGCAACGGCCACTGACGACTTGCTCATAACTGTATCTCGATCTCTTATATACAGTGGGTCACAGGGTCAATCAACAAGGTTGCCGACGCAGCCAAGTAGCGGGCCAAAGGCACCATCTAGGAAAACTTGATACGTTATGGAGGGGTGGAAATGGATGCACTGAAGGGGTGTCAGCTCTCCTTGAGCCCATAAGACCCGAATTAAGCACTCTCTCAACACCGTTCTGGCTGCATGAATTTCTGGATGGCAAAGTGTTCGCAAATGTGATTAAGCACAAAGACTCTTTTCTCACATCAGCTTTACAAGCTGCCGTGCAAGAAGAATGAGGGCACGACGCCATCTCGGAGAGCCAGTCTTCCAGCTGCCCATGCCCTGAGAGAAGTTAAAAAGAATCCCACGCAAAATGGCAATGTGCAACCTCAAAAAGGAGGAGACTGGTCACTGGTCTGCCAGTCTGGTGACACAGCCTGTTTGCAAGCTCCTTCGGCTTGAACTTCGACGCCTCATGACCAAAAGCTGTCTGTGTCGGTCATGTCTAGATGCTTACTTTGCGCTACATCAGGGGGAATGTGGCAAAATGAATTCCCATCAGAATCATTCCTGCCATTCCAGCACATTGCAGAGGCATCCCGCCTGTGAAGCTGCATCTCTGGCTAAGACTGTCAGTAGTGGCAAGTCAGCCTGACGGATCGGAAAGCATCTTTACGCTGTGATGGGACATCTCTCTGCTCAGGATTACCACATATGCCTTCCTGGAGCTGCCAAATGACCAAAAGCTGTAGGCCTTGGTGCTGAGGTGCGGGTGAATCGTCTTGGACAAACGGCGCTAGAAAACGGCTGTAAGGTTTGTGAACCGCGGGGCATAAACGTGGAACACATTCCTTGCCTCCACTCCTTCTTCTGTGTAAGGTATGCCCTCACAATAAGACTTCATTTCTGTTCGACGAGGACCAAGCAATTTCTCGTGGAGCCTTTGTGGCACCTTGTACGTGCACATGATCACTCGCATCTCTGTGTGTGTATTAAAGCATATCTGTTTCAACGCGGTAGCTGCAAGTGTCTTGGAACATTGTTGTCACAATTCAAGAAGCAAGTGGAACTAGCTTCGAATCAAGACTTGCTCACCCTGTTGTTCCAGCCGTTCACTTGCTGCACGCCAGCCAGCGCCTGCTTGACTTAGCTTGAGCCGCTGTCGATGCCTATAGGCAAGTACATCATCGGTTTGATAATTGCAAAAGTGCCCAGATTTGATGTAAATGCAGTGCATGTCGCTTCCTGGCCTGTCCACTCGAAACAGTCCTTTTGTTAAAGTCAAGCACTTGCGGTGGCTGCTTGAAACTAGTAAGGATTTGTGCAATCTCAATGCTATCAAATCGAGTCACTGCTTCAGTGGTATTGGAGCGTGTGCCACCATAAACTTAAAGTATCTTACCTTCTTACTGTCTCTGAAAGGTTGCAAGCCCTTCCATGGCGGGAAGACTGTCCACAGTGTCCAACAACCACTTGAGTCCTGGCAGGAGAAGACCAGCATAAACGTAGGGCCTGCCGGGTTGACTCACATTGACGGCATGGAAAATGGCCCAGCACGATGAGTGAAAACACGTTGAAGCCTTATATAAGTACAGTAAACCAGAAGTAGGATTGGCTTGCACTTGCAAGAGTAAGTTGCAATGTTTCCGTGTCCACTTGAGATACTTGCATAAAGAACGAAGAAAGTACTGTATAGCATAGATCAAGCTACAGCATGCAGCGTGAGGCCTGAGGGTCTTCCTCAAAGTTTACTGGGACTCTTCATGAGGTATCAATTACAGTAAGTATATCTGTTTCAAGATCTGAACCTGCTACATTTGCACAAACGTCTGAAAAATTGCCCTCTATACTCGACAAAAGGACCCAGGCCAACAAATAGGCCGAGAGCACAATTTGTCAGGCCTCTGGAGCTGACAACTTTGTCTTCAGTATCCACGAGTGACACTGTCGCGGTTTCCACTGCTTCCTGCCTGTGAGCAACAGGAAGGCTACACAAGGCTGCACAGCTACAACTGCTACACGTGCGCAAGCAACACAACTTCCTGACTTTAACTTGGGAAAAGCCATCACAGTGCAACATGCTTGAGAGCCAGGCCAAATCTAGAGCTGGAATCCCTCCTGGCAAGGCAGCGCGGTAAGCATCTGAAGCTTACCCTCTCAATTCCCTAATTTGGGTACTCCGGATGCCTCCATTGCCTCCATTCCCTGCTACGATCTGAACTTGCATCGCCAATCTCCCCCGAAGTTGCTTCTACTAATTATATCTTATTATATATATATATCGGTGTGTGTATGTGTGTGTGCGTTTGATTTTGATGTTCAATATGGTCAATGAAGCTCTGTACAAAAAGGAGAGGACATAGACTTTAGACGTAGAACAGCGCAACAAACATCCACTGGACTTGACTATGACTATGATAACCAGCCAAAGCTCCAAACAAAAACCAACTCATGTCAATTAACGTCACATGGCACAATTGTCAGTCGTCCAAACAAGCCGCAGCTCAGCAACACCTTTTGCAGAGTCTTGGGCGCTTTGCCACAAAAACAGGTCTGGCCAGTTAGTTTCACAACCAGCCATCAAAGGCAAACCACAAATCGACAGAGCCACCATTTTTATGGCTAAGCCAAAGCTGTAGAGCAAGCCGGTTCTCACTGGTGATCCACGGCATCTCTTAGCTCTGAAGCGAAGAAATTGCAGTGCAAGTTGATTAGCTGTGCAAAAATTGAAAAGAGTGATGGTCTGATTTGTCTTTGGCCGGGGTCCAAAAATATCCCAAGCCAGTAATTACATTAGAATGTAAGACTAAAGAGGACATGGTACAAAGAAGGGAGGTCATTGGCTTCAATGATTTGTTCATGTGGCGGTTTGTGATGAGTGCGGTTTCCTTCATTAATGCCATCACTGAAAATGGCTCAGCGCATTTGCATCTTTCAAAACAATCAGTTCAGATGTTTGGCCGCATTGGCTTTTAGCCCAGCATATCACAGCGTCACATGCAGGTGCAAGCTTCATCGCCAGCCTGCACTGGCCGGGCTGTAAGCAACTCAACTCCCGAATATCAGGCCTGTCATGCTTACCACTTCAGAATGATTTACAGTATATACACCGCAGAGTGATTGGTCGTATGTGAATAATCATGTGCAAGCATGCGCGTGAAAATCCTTGTTGAAAGCATTTATTGTATGTCTGCTTCACACCACCACGAAATGCAGAGAGTGTTCTACCTAAGTTTGGCAAACGGGACATCTTGTTTCTCAGCTCCAGGCACATCCAAGGCACCCACGGGCAGCCTTCCGGTCATATCTTACGAGGCAACATTCTCTAAAGTCTATATAACTAAACAGCTGAACCGGTCACTCCATGCTGATTCAATTTGAAGCATTCTTTCTCAGTCTTCCAAATCTCAGGCTAGAAAAGTTCCGTGTGCTCAACGAAAAACAATGAAAAACCTGTGGGTTTAAGCGTTACTTCAGTACAAAACATCCTGCTAACCAGGTCGCCACACCATTGTCTGCGATGGCTGAATCTGCGCTGCTGGCTCGCCCGGACTGCGAAATGGCGTTTACTCAGTTTACTCCACAAAACAGACGCATATAGAAACAAGATCTATATATAGATGAACAGAACATCAGGGTTCCTCCTTGGATACACAAGGGCCCCTTCAGAGGGCCCTTTATCAAAGAGGCCTTTGCCTTCATGTGTTCCTCTCGTTTTCGTTGCCCCAGTTTGCCCTTACATGCACGCACTGAGACACATTTGGCAAAAAAACAGTGACAGTTGCCGGTCCTCACTTGATCTGGTTCCGGCATTTCCCAAGTTTGTGGCACCTGCATTTTGCGATTTGGTGGAAGCATATGCAGACTTGAGCTGAATAAAGGAGCTTGCACAGCTATGCGAATCACACTGGCCTCTGAACTGCCTGCACTGTCCTGCGAAAAAAGCACAGTTTGGAGAGATTCTGGGTCAAGAAGCGGTCTGACGTAAGACAGAAGGTTGCTCTTTCTGTGCTCAGTGTGGCAGGTTGCAGTATTCACATTGCATGTTGGTCAAGGACAGCCTCGAAAGTGTGCCCTCTTCAAATCAAATGCTGTATCTCTCTTCCTCTCTCACTCTCTCTCTCTCTCTCTCTCTCTCCGCGGGTTCCTTTTAAACCAACACTTTTAGAATGTAATCGTATGCGTCCTTTGTATCCTCAGGCTCCTGCAGGAACGAGCATGGAAGTGGCAAGTGGGTGCATGGAATGGTGGCTTCGAACCAATAGAACCGCAGTACAAATTCAACGGGGAAAGTACAAGAATGTACAAGAAAAGGTGGTTGGTTGAAGTTGGATGAATTGTGTGGGAAACTTATGCAATGATAAATGAGGCCAAACGTTGAACATTGATGTTGTTGGTGCGGGAATGACTGTATTCACTAGAGTATATATCTGGTTGACTCCAGAGTCACGACAAGAGTATATACTGAATTCTAAGGGACCCCAATGTAGTATGCAACATGCACTTTCAGCCAGACCACAAGGACAGCTAAGCACGGAAATGGAAGCCTGCAGTGAACGGGCGCCGTTCACATCTTTGGCAGCTTTGGTAAGGATCTCCTCCTGAGCTACAATCTCAGTCAGCCATCCGTCCAACTTTGCACGGGCCGCTTGCGGTGGATAATTGAAAAAATATACAAAATGCCGTCTGAACCTGGAGTGGACAATGAGTTTTGCTGTTGCAACGTCACTCGCACGTCAATTCAGCAAATCTAGCTGAAGTAGGGTGGCAAAGCGAACAGCCAAGGTTCCCATAGACCAAAAGCCCTTAGCACGGTCGACGTACTTTAGTTCAAGGCCATCCCACACAAATGTCCTACAATACATAAAACACCGTAGTTCTATAGGCTCCCTGCTCATTGGGCTTGGTCTGAGTCAACTGGCAGTCGCACGAAGAACGTTTCTTTGTGTCAAAGCACTTCAAAGACATAAAGGAAATATCCAAGTAACAAGCCTCACTGGGCGGCAGCACCATGTACGACGACTCGGATCAAAAACAGGCTCTACTACTCTTGTCACACATCACATCATCACACCATCTTCTTACTAGGAACAAGTGCCACGCTAGTAGTAACAAGTGCCGTACTAGTAGTAACAAAAAGCCATTAGGAACAAGTGCCTTACTAGTAGTAACAAGAAGCTATTAGAATTAATTTTAAACCTCTTCAACCTCTTGAGGTCTGGTGTCCAGGTCTAGATCGATGGCTGCAGCCGGGCAACTTGTGTCACCATACTGCCCTGGCACAAGGGTGGGCAAACGCAGAAGAAACTGGGGCAGCTGCATTTGTTTTGGTCGGGTTTTGCTTGTGGCCTTCTTTTCCAAGAGCATCTCCGCCTGAGACTCTGGCAGGGCAACTTTCAGTCTCAAAATGTCTGAAGGACAAGAAAAGGGAAGGGGGAAAAGTCTGATGTATGTATATGTTATATACATATACTCATGTACATATGTATGCACATATGGTTCCCATGCATAATTTCCAACTTTGCATCTGCCCTGAGTGACGAGCAGGTGGTTTCTCCGGCGGAAAAAGCTGGGTAAGATTCTCTGGAAGCACTATCTCGGCTTTTGCCTGGATCTCGCCAGGTGACCCAGATGCGTTCCAAGCATTTTCAAACATATCCAGGATAGCAACCTCACACCTTTTTTCTGAGGCTGCAGGATACGCATTGGCACCCTTAATCACCCAGAAAGCTGCGAATATCCTGTCTCGAAGGCTCTTCCTCTCCCAATGACCAGAAACACAAAGGTGGAAAGCGGCAGAAGAAATGCCAAAGCGGAAACGAAAAGGGTTGGAACAGCCCCCCAGGGCTCAGCAAACCCAAACTCAAACCGCTTCAAGTTCGTCTCTGTCTCGGGCACCAAGGTGACAGCTGCATTTTTGAGATCAAAAATTGAGTGCACCTTGCGAAAGAAAACATCGCCCAAAACCATGTGAGGCAACTGGTTGCCATAGCCTGTCAGTGGCTTTATCCCTATGGTGCACAGCGGTTCTCCAAAATATTCACGTGCAGGTAGGAGCAAGTCAGCCGAGGAAAAACTCACAGAAAGCTCTCCATCTTTGCCACGGAAATGAAGAATCAACTCATTGAGTTGCGTACTTTGACAAGGAACTAGTCCCTCATACCTCTGGATACCTGTGCCTGAGGTCAGCGCCCACATTGTTTGTAAATATGCAGGCATCGGCATTAGCAGAAGAGAGGTTCCAGAATCGACAACTCCATATCCGGTCAAATTGAGTAACAGCCGTGACTCAAGTGATGGGTCGCGTGACCTCTGTTCAACATGAAGCTCCATGGCGACCATCCAGAAGAGCAGCGCCCCTGGCTCCCCCGCAGCTGCCTGGGCGGGGTTTTCCATCCCCTGGACGTCCAGAGTCACACCTTTGGCGGACGCTCTTTGTCTGGCATCATGAACCAAATCCGATACTTCACCCAGGCTTAAGAAGCTGTTTTGACCCAAGCCATGCAAAGCCAACCCAAAGCCAAGGTTAGTGAAGCCTCCTGCAGCACCTAATGTTTGGAAGAAGGTTTGAGTACCAACATCCAACATGCGAGGGAAGGCTAGGCCAAGAATCCCGTCGAAGGCCTTCAAATTTCGACCCATGCCTCTGATTTTGAAAGCTAGTAAAAAGTCTTGCTCAACGCACAGTGCAGCGAGGCAAATTCGATCCCTGGCAGCACGCGCAAAAACATCTCCCAATCCGTATGTGACATGAGCCAACTGATTCATTTCTTCTGGCTTGCTTACAGCATCCTTCTTCAACCACAAGTTGCTGGAGCCCGTGTCAATAAGCACCCGCAAAGGTTTGGCAAAGCGACCGACCTTGAGCTCAGTGGTGTACAAAATGTCTTGAAAATCCCACAAGGCCACCTCTGCAGGTGAGGGAGACATTCTTCCAACAGAATCCCTCCAAGTTACTTCGTCTCTATCATATGCCTGTTCCAAATGTGATGTCTCGAACGCCTCTTCTCCAGGCAAATCCAGCTCAAGTGGCGCTTCAACATTCTTCCCATTCACCACTTCTCTCACGAGCGGCACGCGGATCACTCCAGCAACCACCGGAAGTGACCACAACGACCACCGCATTGCGGCCCATTCTCTAAGTCAAGTGCTTGGGAGTGCTTGGTCTGACTGCATTTTATTCATGGCTTCTCTTTTTCAGCAAGCTCAAGTCTGCTGCAAAAAACTACAGTATTTGTGTGGCATCTCTTACTTTAAGTCACAGTCACAGCTATGCAGTCAAGTGATACTACAACCTTGATAGGAACCAAACGCACCACGAGTGTACTACAACTTGGACCGATCAATCAAGCAAAAAGGCAAAAAGAAGGGCAAAGTCAAACAGGAAATTGCGGTTCCGGTCTCCATGGATGTCTCTTGGCCGGAGAGCGCATAGGGACTTGAGACTCGGACCATTGCCTGGCGCAGCGCATCGTCAGACCTGCTTCGCTTCGAGGCAGGCTATCGGCTATCGCCTCTCACTACTAGGATTTGTGGCACAGGGCTTTGCGGCTGTTTTTCTTCGCCTTGTGATGGTTCCAAATGGCGTTCGAAACAAGTTCACACAGCATCCCGTCAGTTGAAATGCTACACCTCGACTCCATTCTGATTGAAGGCAATTGTATCTAGAACTATCGGTTATCAGCAGGCTTAATATGTATATATTTACTGATTTATGTTATACGTGTATATATATATATATATATATCCGCACTTGTACAACAAAACATAATCATATATATACTTGTATGAATGTATGTGTGTGTGTGTGTTTAAAGGCGTGGTTAGGTGCATTCAGCGTCACATATCGCCTGGCCACTGGTATCTCAAAGATCTCTGACCACACAGGGTTGAGTGACCTCAACATCTCAGGAAGCTTGCAGTCTAAGCCTAAGCATGATGGAATCATCAAAGTCATGCCAACAACCTTGCCATTTCAGCATGACAGTGATTGGCAGTAGTGGTTGGCAGTGTGCCTGATCTTGGTACTGCTCCGTTGCCGGAAACAAAAACCAGCTTGGGAATATGCCACCACCTGAAGCAGGACATTGACACGGGCAAAATGTTCCGGCGTTTGAACATTCTTGAACTCCAATCACCTTGCAGTCTGCTTGACGCACAGCCGACCGCCAGCTAAAAATGTGTGCACCTCGACCAAAGGATCCGATGAGCCGCGGAATAAAAACAGATCCTGCGACATGCCAAACCTATCGACTGAACGTGAAGCCGACTGCAGTTTAATGTTCTGGAGAAGCACTCCTCTCGTGGAAGGTTCGAAGCTTTCACCAACTTCACCTTGGACCCACTCTCTTCCTCCCGGCTCTATCAAGCACATGAATGTTGATGCAAATATCACGTGTTCCACAGATATACTGCTCAGGCCTCTGTGCGGTCAACCAACATCCCCATCAAACCAGAGCTTTATTGACACATCAATGCTGTTTTGACGCATTGTCCGGAAACTGGAATCAAGCCGTTGAGGGCCGTTTGAACCCTCGAATGATCTATCGACATCTATCAACAGTCAGCCGGCAAACGTTACTGCTAAACGTACTTGCTGTCAATGTAAGAGTCGCAACCTAAACAACACTCCGGAATGCATTCTGTGTCACATGGAGCAAAGGATGACGCTGACATATGCCGACACCTCCTACATGTCAGCAGCACACCTTGGCTGCTTGGTTCAAGGACCTCAACAGTTTTTGTGTCGAGGAAGTTCTCGTCTCAGAAGTCTTCAACAGAGTTCCATTGCTCCTGGCACGGCTGCAATTGTTCGTTCTGCTTGAACGAGTGTAGCGTGGGCTCGCGGCGATGATTACTACAAACAATCGCTGGGACAATGGTGCCCACCCTCTCCTAAATCTAGACAAGGCATGCTAATACTTCCAACCTTCAAGTCGTCCTTCGAATGTCTTCAGACTTTGTTTGATCCGTCTTGCTCTCCTCAGAGTCTGGAAGTGGGCTCTGGAGGCGGCAGGAAAACTGGCGATCCTGCAAAACGGAATCCGGTCATTCAAAGTTGCATTGTACCATTCAGAAACTGCCGTAAAAAATTGTCTGTCTCTACTTTCCCTGTGGAGAAACTGACAGAATGGCTATTGTAAGATATTGTAAGTCTCCAGCTGTGTGCGACTCTGCAGCATCATCCCTGTAGCGTCTGCGTCGTTTTTTGACCCTCATATCCTGGCAAGGCGGATGCAATTGACCGGCCACTCAAACAACTTCCAAAATATTCAAAGTTTGTTTGACAAGCGTCTGTCTCTCACAAAGCACATGCACCGTGAAAATGCATGAAGGCGTAATTCGGCTATCCTTGCTGAGTAATTGTCAATTCGCAGTGCCTCCAAGTGTAGCGATGAGGAGGAGTCAGTTGCAGAAACAGAACTGGTGGGCCGTTCAGAACCACGTGCAGCTCCTGGAGCCAAGGGTCGCCTTGACATTGAAAGATGTCTTTTCCAAGTACGGCCCTATCGCACTTAACATCTGGGTGGCCTAGGTCAGATATGCAAAAATAACCAACAGGTAGGATTCTGGAGCTCGTAAGACGTCATGTGCCGAGATTCCCTGCCTAACCCACCGCTTTGAGTCTCTCTCTCAATCTATAATTCCAGAACCCACCAAGTCCTGTGGAATAGTGACTTGAATGTGCTCGCTTGCGGCCCATTTCAATGAGCGGTGTCGACAAAGGCGGTGGCATGGTGTCCGGCCTTCCAAGCAAACAAAGAAGGAACATGCGCCAAAGGCCAAATGCAAAAAAGAGACGAAGCAATAACAAACAAACGCAATCAAGGAATGCAAACGTGTGGAGCTTTGCAATTCTTTGACCTGGAATCACACGTCTCGGTGCGATCGTCGCTGAAAGGCTTTGTCAAGGCACCTGACTGCACATCTGCATGGTTCATCTCATGAATCATGATTCCTCCTGAGAGTTGCCTTCTTGCATAGCCCGCAGCATTTCCTCCTCTGCGGTACCCTTGATCTCCTGAACCCTGCAGTTTGCAACATGGTGCAAGTGCTGTGGTGTCAGCTGTGTCAACTTCACTACGTTGAGCACACGGGCGGCTGCTCCGCCATGGGACAAACAAATGTAGCACGAGAGGTTCAGAGCCTCAAAGTACCATTCTCAGGAGGAACCATTTCAGAGATCTTGGCCAAGAACAGGTGGCATTGAACCTTGACTCGACATTCCAAATGAGTCGATTTTGTGATGAAGATCAAACTATGCTAAAGATAAATTCACTGACACTCATATACATATGCAGATCAATATATATTACATTACATGTTCCACACACACACCAACATATAGAGAGAGAGATATAAATACACATTCAAGCCTTTTAAGCTGCAGACCATTGAGAGGCCCAACTCCAGAAGTTCCTCGAAACGGACGGATGCCAAGTCCTGGTGCATCCGCTTTAGACAGCTCAGATGCGAAAAAACAAACATTGAAGAGCCTCTACTAAAGAAATTTAAAACGTTTCTTTACTTCGAGCGATCCCCACCATGACATTTCAATCAGTTGTCTTGATGCCATAGTGAGGAGCATGTTGCCATGGTCGTGAGTATTGTAGTTCTCGATTTTGTTTGTGGGTCCTCGGGTCGTCTGCTGTGGTTGTGTGTGTTGTGGTTGTGGTTGTTTTCTGTGTTGTGGTTGTGGCTGTGTTTGTGGTTATGTGTTTGTGGCTGTGTGTTTGTGATTCTGTGTGTTTGTGGGTGTGTTTGCGGTTGTGTTTGTGGCTGTGTGTTTGTTGTTGTGTTTGCGGTACTGGTAGTGGTTGATTATGTGTTTGTAGTTGTGGTTGTGTTTGTGGTTGTGGTTGTGTGTGTGGTTGTGTGTTTGTGGTTGAGTGTTTGTGGTTGTGTGTTTGTGGTTGTGTGTTCATGGTTGTGTGTTTGTGGTTGTGTTTGCGGTTGTGTGTTTGTGGTGTTTGTGTTTTTGGTTGTGTGTTTGTGGTTGTGTGCTTGTGGTGGTGTGTTTGTGGTTGTGTGTTTGTGGTTGTGTGTTTGTGGTTGTGTGTTTGTGGTTGTGTGTTCATGGTTGTGTTTGTGGTTGTGTGTTTGAGGTGTTTGTTGTTGTGTTTGCGGTTGTGTTTGTGTGGTGTTTGTTGTTGTGTTTGTGGTTGTGTGTTTGTGGTGTTGGTGCTTGTGGTTGTGTGTTTGTGGTGTTTGTGTTTGCGGTTGTGTGTTTGTGGTGTTGGTGTTTGTGGTTGTGTGTTTGTGGCGTTTGTGTTTGTGGTTGTGTGTTTGTGGCGTTTGTGTTTTTGGTTGTGTGTTTGTGGTGGTGTGTTTGTAGTGGTGTGTTTGTGGTTGTGTGTTTGTGGTTGTGTGTTTGCGGTTGTGTGTTTGTGGTGTTGGGGTTGGTGGTTGTGTGTTTGCGGTTGTGTGTTTGTGGTGTTGGTGTTTGTGGTTGTGTGTTTGTGGTTGGGTTCTTGTGGTTGTGTGTTTGTGGTTGTGCGTTTGTGGCTGTGCGTTTGTGGTGTTTGTGGGTGTGTTTGTGGTGTTTGTGGTTGTGTGTGTGCCCCTTGTAGTCACAGGGATCCCATCGGATTGTGTTTTTCTCATTTTTCAGCAGGGGGTGCAAGCAGCCCATCCAGTCTTGCACCAACGAAGACACTGGATGTGTGCTGGTGAAATCAATCCGGGACGCCGGATTGACGTACCTGCTGGGAGAGAAACCTACGTAGAGCACAAGCTGTCTACTTCGTTGTTTCCTTCAGTAAAGGGCTAATGCAGCGGTGATGAACTTGGCTTTTCTGCGCGCACGTCGTCACCTTGTCGTCCGCTCGATCGGTGTTTCCTTTTGGAATTGCTGGCCACCTGAAACCTGCGGGACCTCCACTGGATGGACCTCCACTTCCTTTTTTTTAGGTTTCCTTACCTGTACCCTTAGGAAATGGAACCCTAGGCCGGCGTGTGGCACCGCTTTCAGTTCAGTACACCCTATCCTAAGTGTGTGTTTGTGGTTGTGTTTGTAATTATGTGTTTGTGATGTAGTTGTGTTTGTACTTGTGCGTTTGTGATTGTGTGTTTGTACTTGTGCGTTTCTGGTTGTGTGTTTCTAGTTGTGTTTGTGATTGTGTGTTTCTGGTTGCGTGTTTCTAGTTAGTTGTGTTTGTGATTGC